TTCGCTGAGAATGTTCTCCAAGGCACGACCGTAATCTTATTTAGCGTGCTTGTTTCACTTAACGTTTCCCACTTGTTTTTCCTAACTCCTGGAGGCACATGACACTTGAGGAAGCCGGAGAGACATGGGTTTGGGAATCCAGTTCTGTGGACGCTGAGTTCTGGATGTTTCTCAGATTTTTGAAAACCACGTAAGGACTTGTCTCTCTGTCTCGCTTGCTTCGGTTATGGAGGAGGGCTGATCATCCCGGGACTCACTCCCAGATTTCATGACAATCTAAGTATGTTGGGTTCTCTGGATTAACAATGTAGTACTTTTAACCCTTGTGGGGGGAGGGGGGGGTCACAAAATTAGAAGCAAAGAGGAGCCCAGGCCTTATTTTCTAATTCTTTTACTTGAAATGTAGGAGCCTCTCAAAATACTCATCTGATAGAGAAAGGAATGCATCTGTTTCAGGGTCCCTGATGTCTTTCGCTGAAAATGTCAGTGCGCTTACAAAGTACATTCCACTTTTCATTATTATCTTTTGAACGTAAGCATCTGGATCCTTTGCCGTACCCAAATCTAGTTACTTGAAAATAAAGCGTGGGGCGCCTGGGTGGCTCGGTCAGTTAAGCATCCAACTTAGGCTCAGGTCATGATCTCATGGGCCGTGAGGTCGAGCCCCGTGTCGGGCTCTGTGCTGACAGCTCGGAGCCTGGAGCCTGGAACCTGCTTCGGATCCTGTGGCTTCGCCTCTCTCTGTCCCTTCCCGGGTCATGCGCGCACGCTCTCTCTCTCTTTCTCTCTCTCTGTCTCAAAAATGAATCTGTTAAAAAATGTTTTTAAAGAAGACAAATCGAATTTTAGGCTCACACTATGAAATATCATCTGGGTGAGAACTCCCCAGCTTCTGGAACGATCAGTTGACTCTTAGCCCATGACCAAACTCCAAAAGAATGGTCCTCGTATGTTATTGGTGCATTGAGTGCATTCATTTGAAATAAACACCGTAGCCCTAATACAGCACTACCTTTAATTCGGGGGCAATTTGCTTAGAATTTATGTGCGTCTCATAAGTTCGTAAAAAACGAGGTTGGTCGTGTGTCACTTGCCACATTGGAATATCCCAACTTTCCTGGAGCCACAGAGAAAACACCCCCACACACCAATCTAAAGTTCAGCTCTTTTTATAGTAACATAGAGGCAGGCATATTAAATTATTATGCCACGTTTCTGCCAGGTTTTGACTTTTTTTTTGAGTTCTCCGTTATAAGGCAACCCGAGCGGTCCCCAAGTCCCGCGGCTGCCCGAACGTTCTGAGAGCATAGCCTATGCATGTTAACTAAGGCATCTCCTGACACCCCAGGCAGGTAGGCAGGTAGGTAGGTGAGGTGGCCACGGACGAGGAGGGAAGCAGGGACAGCGTCAGCCAAGGCCAGGAGTCCCTTGCGGAGCTGGAGTTGAGGGACTCATGTGTTCCTGGTTACCAGCCTGTGTTCAGAGCTCTGTTCTGGTTTTAATCCTGCCGGGCGAGATCCTCTCCCTCTTTGAAGTCCCAGAGCCGCCAAGCAGGGAGGGGGCGAATCCTTCACATCAGCCTTTGTCATTCACACCGAGCCAAAGGGACGATGTCACTAAGTCAAATGGATGGACAAAGAAACACTGCTGGTCTGTAGTGTCTCTTGCTTGTTTTCTTCTAAAGGGTGGTTACTTTTAGTGACGATCCTTGTCGAAGGGGGTCTCTGACAACCAGCCTTTGGCCTCTTTTTACTCTCCTGTTGCGAAAATGTGCTACATGGGCGTGTGTGTGTGTGTGTGTGTGTGTGTGTGTGTGAGAGAGAGAGAGAGAGAGAGACAGACAGACAGACAGACAGAGACAGAGGGACCAAGAGATAGGAAGAGAGATTGATTCTGTTTGTTTCCTTTTCCTGACCTTCCTTAATTCTAGGTGTTTGGCAGTCTTGGTCCAGTTATAATAACTTCGGGGCCTGCATTTTTATTGCTCTCTCTTTCCAGAATGTGGCTTCGATTTCACCCTTCTTGAAATGCCTATCCTGAACCTCCCTCACTTTGGGGCTCTTTCTCCTCTAGTGAACAAAAGCAACCTTTGATATTCCGAATTGCACCACCTTTCTCGTTTTTTATGCAATGTGAACTTTGAGGAGAACTTTAAGATATGAGGAAAAGATGTGTGTCTCCCTTATCTTTGGCTTTTGTAAGTTTTTTTTTTCCTTCCCCTAAATCGATCTCAATTAACTTTGATTTCTTTCTTTAGAAAACCATGTGCTGAAATAATGCTTTGCCAGATGTGAGAATGGGTTCCTGCCTCTCCAAACACACACTGGAGCCTTGTCTTAGTTCTTCTAGTTTGATCCACTTTTTAAAATCTTAGGCCACATTTGTTTGGTCACGGGAAGCCCTACTCTACTTTATCTCGGAGGTATACTCATATTTTGACGCTGTGACTCTTTTTGTCGGCACGACCTCTTTCTTTCTCGCTTGTAATTTAAAACCTAGCCCATCCCTCCTCCCCCACCTGTTTCTGCCGAGTTCTGATACGAATCGCACGTTTATTCGTGTTTCTCTTCACCGGGGAGCCGGCGCTAAGCTTGCACTGGGTCTTGAACTGGGTCTTGTCTGTGGGACCAGGCGGGAGAGGGGGGCAGGCGTCGGCCTCGTTTCCTGTTCTGACCATGCGAACCCTTTCTGTCCAAGTGCTGCTATGGGAGGGGAGACTCAGTTTTGCAGAAATTATAGAAGATGCTGGGATTTATGTCTTTTTGAAAATATCACTACGACACTAAGCCCGTGGTGCTGATTTTACTTGTAAGGCCACATCTGTGAATTTTGAGTCGTGAGATTCCTTTACCCTCCCTTGGGACCAGAAGAGAGAGCCATGTAATTCAGGTCCCCCTGGACGTCTCCGGTGCCCAGAGCTTCGGAGCTGCTGCCTCGTGTCGCTGTTGTCTATTGTTGACGTGCTTGGTTTTTCTGTGGATTCAAGATGCCTTACCTTTTTGTTGTTGTTGTTCCTTCCTCGTGTCCGATTGTGGCCGTCTGGCGGGCGCGAGCTGTCCTTGTGTACGTTTTGTGTTACTGTTTCCACCGCCAGCTGACTCTTGCCCCCAAGTGGCACAAGCTGTGATTCTGGGGATTTTTGAGAAGTGGGGAGTGGTGGGGTGTATATATGCACAGGCACCTGGCCACCACTCTGACGGCCAGAGCACTGAGTTTGTTGCTGCTGGTTCTTCCTACTCGCTGATTCGTAGCTCAGTGTTGTCGGGCAACGAAGTTCATGTGCTTGTGAGGTTAGTCCTCGGGTGACAGAGTGCACACGGGGTGGGGAGGGGTGCTTTGTGAAATTACACGTGTTCTCTAATAATCCTGATACTTCTGCAAGGAGGTAGGTCTGTATCTTCGAAAAGCTGCCTCCCAAGTCTCTGTTACTAACAGGGAGCGGCCTTACTTACTGAAATACCAACTCAAAGAAAAATAAGGGAGTGCTAACGTAAACAGTATCCCAAACCGAGAGATGTAAGAAAGGCATCGTCGTAGGCTGAGGCAGTGGAAGGTAAAACACAAGTCCGATCTATCCCTAATTCCACAGCTCCCTTTAAGGTGAGTTCTGGACTTTTCTGGACCTCAGATTCTCTCATTTGGGGATGAGCAGTTGGGACTAAAGTCTCCACTGTCCCCCCAGGTCCCAAGATGTCCATTTTTAAAAAATGTTTATTTCTTATTTATTTATTTATTTATTGTTTTGAAAGAGAGAGACAGAGAGAGCACATGGGGAGAGGGGCAGACATAGAGTGGAGGACAGAAGATCTGAAGTGGGTTCTGCACTGAAAGCAGCGAGCCCGATGTGGGGCTCGAACTCACAAACCATGAGATCATGACCTGAGCGACCTAAGTCGGACGCTTAAGCGACTCAGCCACCCAGGCACCCCTAAAATTTCCATTTTTTCTTTGAAATAATGTATGACCCAAACAGCATTTGCTTCTGGCCAGTCGATAACGATAACTGTGGATGCCCAAGGACTGAAATACAAATGAGGTATCCCATGGATTTCTTGTTTCTGTTAGAGAAACCAAAATTGAATTGTCCCATAATTCCTTCTGCAGCACGGTATATCATTCAAGCAGTTGAAATTTCCAGATCTAATTTGCCTTTGCCGATCTGGCGAATAGGATATACGCGTAGCCATAGGCCAGCCACTTGTTTGACTTAAAGCCCCACAAGAATGGTCCAACAATGACGAATATTTTCTATTTCTTTGCACCAAATCACACAAAGGACCAAAGATCTTAATAGAAAATAAGGGAGAAAAAGAGCTCGTCAGTGATCCCAGATATTTTAAACATCCTGGTATTTGGAGGCATCTGGATAATTCAGAGCTTTTTTTTTTTTTTTCTGGTTCATTTATCATCCAGATGTTCGCCATCATGGAAACACTGCTCGAAACTCCATTTCAGCTAATAACTTCGAAGTGGAAAAATTCGTACCTTTGTCCGTTCGTCCTTTGGTGCCCCACTTCCCTTTACTTTTCTTCTAAGCGTCTCCTCTTGGAAACCTCCTGGGAATTGTGGCAATTTCACCAGATGCTTAGGTGTTCTCCATCACATTTCTTTTTTTTAATCTCCATGACCATTCTGTACCCTGTCTGCTTGAATTATAGATTGCATTTGTCAAATAATGACACAAGCAATTGGATGTCTTCTAAGACCTTTGAAATTCAACTTCCTTGAGTTGAGATTAAAGTGGGTATTATCTGCACTGTGGCAGTCAGGCCGGGGATGCTGGGAGACCCGCAGGAAAGTTTTTCGGGGCCGGCCGCTTCCAACTGCTGCGGTCGGGAGGGAAGAAACCCAGCTACTTTTTTCTTCTCAAAGGTAGAAATGGATACCACGACAACTACCTAAAATGTGGTCCCAGTTAGAAATGGCTCGCAAGCCAACAGCCCTTTGAAGCGTGACTGTCCTTTGGCGCGTCCTGAACGTGTGTTTCTTTGGGCATTCAGGAAGCGCTATCGGTCGTGAGCGAGGACCAGTCATTGTTCGAGTGTGCCTACGGAACACCACACCTGGCCAAGACGGACATGACCGCGTCCTCCTCCGGCGACTATGGACAGACATCCAAGATGAGCCCCCGCGTCCCTCAGCAGGACTGGCTGTCTCAACCTCCAGCCAGGGTCACCGTCAAGATGGAGTGTAACCCTAACCAGGTGAACGGCTCAAGGTAAGGAGACGCCCCTGCCCCTCTTCTCCCCGACTTCGCTGTTTTCCTGCCCCTGGAAGAGGCAAACGAGGCGCGTTTCTCCAAGGATCGTTGCCGCGAGTGAGGCCCTTGCGCGGTAACATCGGGCCGGGCTGAGAAAATGTGTTCTCCAGGGGTTTGCGTGAAGGCTAAAAACGGATAGTATATTTACCAAGAGCTCCCTTTGAAGATGTGCTCGATTCTGTTTCCCAGGCACGAGGGCTCTGCGGGAGGGGGGCCGTGCCCACATATGGCAGAATTCATCTCTGAGGGTTTTATTGCCTGGAAAATAATGCCGGCTCATGTTTTTATGGAGGGAGAGTGTGAGCTAGTGGCCAGGCAGTGCGGCGTGACGTCCGGGCCATATGACTTGGCTGGTGGGTCTAGTTCACACGCGCTCCACCCCTGCCTTCTTGGTGCGCGCCGTTTCTTCTCGCCTTTCCTTACGCTTGAAGCCAAGTTCTGCCGGCACACGTGAAGTACTCCCTTTCCTGACTTTGTCGCTGCCGCTGTCTCACCGCATATGTTATCGAATGCGGGACCGTGCGCCTGATGCCCAAAAGCGTTTCGTCAGACGCGGTTTTGAAAAGTAAAGTTGACTTCCATTGCGACGCGATACCCCACGCGTATTCGGAAAGAACGTAAGATCCCGGGACAAAGAAAGGATAATTTCCTTTAGATGCCACATGATCTGACGTAGAGTCCTAAGAACGGCTCACGTTTTCTGGTGCTTAGTTAACGCACAAAGCCCCTGTACAGCCAGCGAGCTGTGAATGCTCCAAGCAGCCTTCTGAGGAATGCTTGTCCCCATCTGATGGATGAGGAAACTGAGGCTCAGGCATTTTCTGGCTAACTTGAGATCCTAGCTTCGAGCAATTGGATTCAAACCAAGGGCGTCTGACTCCACACCCAGTGCATTTTCCACTCCGTGGAGCCCATAATAGGCCCCCTTTTTGCTTCACGTATATTTCAATGCTAAATGCGCTTTTTATAATTGTCATGTTTTATAAGCACTGGAAACCATTGCGTCAACCCCTAGTTGATGAAGGTGCCAAGTCACAGGGCCTTAGAGAGAATGTCCGCAGTGTGGCTGACATGCCAGACGGGGAGATGGGAGACGGCAAGAGTTTTCCTCGGCTCCGAGAAGCCCGTTCACTCTGTGCGTCTCGCTTCTTCTGGAAGAGGGGGAAGATAGCTCTGATGTTGAATCTTGCTACGAAGCTGGTCCTTTAAGTGGAATTCAAGCCAAGATAGGCCCGGCAAGGCAGTAATTTCTAGACGTCCATGAGGACAAAAGGACCCTGGTAGAAAATGCCGTCAGAGGGTCCAGGATAGCGGAGTCCTGGCCCGGCCAGTTGATGGTTACGTGTGACTCTTTCACAGTAAACCTATCCGTCTGATAGAATGTTTCCCCTGCTCATTAACTGGTCGTCCTGCTGTGAGCCCTGAGTACGTAGCACTTCTTCCAAGGCTGGTTTCTACCTGCAGGGAATACATCACCACGTGCGTGCATGTGTGTGTGCGTGCGTACGTGTGTGTTAGAGCAAGGCTGTGTTAGGGAGACACTGAGTATGGGAGAGAGAGGGAGAGAGAGAGAGAGAGAACACTTCGGGCAAAGGGCACTGAGACGATTTCCAGCAGCAAAAAGTGGAGCGAGCCATGCCCTAGCCCATGTTGCCAAGAGCCTGGCCTGCGACCAGCTCTGGGAATTGCCAGGCTGGATTCAGCAGCCCCAGAAGGAGACCGAGTGAGGAGGTGAGGACGGTGTTGGAGAAACAAAACCTTCTCTTATTCTTCCGGTGCTATTTGTGAATTTAACAAAATATGTAAATAGAAGAAGCCCCGCTGTCTTGTGGGAGAAGTGGACACCGTTTCCCCTGGGGCGGGCCTGTGCTTCCTCTCTGTAGCCAGCGTCCATTTTCTGCCCGGCCGGGGCCGTGGGCCAGCCTTCCCGGCCCAAGGAGGTCCCCACAGGGATTTGGGACGGGAACCCTGAGCCTGGCTAAGGGGCGGGGCCCCCAAGAAGGACGGGGCTCCCGGGAAGCTTCTTCCACCTTCCTCAGCCCAGCTGACTGGGGCAGGCCCTGTGGTGGTTCCCATCAGGTGCAAAGGTGGGTCTCTTCTTTGGGAAACGCAATCGTTCTGGGAGGAACTGGACGGTTATCTTGTGGGGGAACAATGGAAACTTTAGTACCTCTCAGGCCCTCAGAAAGTCTAGGATTGCTCAGAATGTTCCCATCACAGAACTTTTAAAGGCAGTTCCCGCTTTTGAAGCAAACCGTGATGTGTTTTGGTGGGGGAGGCAAGTCAGTCCTGTCGCTCCCCATGTCTTCTTCTTGGATCCACGGTGCTATGTCGGGCAGGTCCGTGAAGGGAGCATGGCCGCCTCCATCTAGCTTTGATCAAGGTCCGTGCGCTTCTTTGATGGAAAATCCAGGGCTGGCGTGATATGGGGAGGGAGGAGCTTCCAGAACCGCCGAAGCCTTGTGGAATGGAGCTATGACACAGATGGCAGCTGGTCACCAAGTGTCATCGTTGCCCACCCCCAGGAATGTTCTGGAAAGACAGGAGGGTGACATGCACTGACCCTCTTTGCAGTAGAGACAAATACGGCGGTCCTGCCCGTCCTTTCCAGAGCTCAGTGTGCCTGCTGGAGTTGAGTGTGCTGCCTGGGCCGGTGCGTCAGTTGAAGTCTCCAGAAAAACAACCAATAGGTTAGACCCTGCAGAGATTTGTCGTAAGGAATTGGCTCTTGCAGTTGTGTGGGTCAAGTCTGAGATCTGTAGGGCAGGCTGGAGGGCTGACAACCCAGGCAGGAGTTGCTGCTGCTGCGGTCCTGAGGCAGAACTTCTTCTTGCTTAGGGAGAAGCTCAGTTTTCTGCTCTTTAGACCTTCAACTGATTAGACGAGGCCCACCCACATTCTGAAGGATAAGTGCCTTTATTTAATGTCAATGGATTCTAGATGCTAACAACATCTATGCAATATCCTTACAGCAACACCTTGATTAGCGGTGGTTTAAGTCACTGGGCGTGATGCCCTGGCCAAGTAGACGCAGGAAACCGGCCCTACCTGGCGTTCCCAGACTCTGTGCTGGGCAGGGCTTGGTGGAGCCATTCCTCTCAGACCTCCAAACCAAGGATTCCCTGCGGTGGCCAGTTCCTTGTACTGAGGGGCTCAGCCGGCTGGATGGGAAATGGTAGAGGGTGTTGTACATCAGATCGTTGGTTCACTGGCACCTTGCAGGGCACTGAGAGCTGGGCGGCCAGGCAGTACCTGCTGTTCGGAACACGACAGGCTGCCTGTGTGGCCGTCAGGGTGGCTAAGGCTCGTTTCATCTGGGGGCCCGACGAGTGGATATAAGATTACTGCGGATCAGGCTGCACACTTTGCAGACCCACCGTGTGATATTTACACACACCAGCTCCATCATAGGGAACGTGGATCTGCGTTCAGTTGGTTTTCATTCTGGAGACCTTGAATGGACACTTGTCTGTAGCAGCCCTACATGAGGGTCAGGGGCGGAGGCAGGGTCAGGGAGACAGGGGTCCTGCCCTGCGGGAGTTCTCGGCGGGGGGGCAGTGTGGAGCAGGCATGGTTCACCTCTGCGTGAGCAGAAGGGACAGGGGTATAGCTCCTAAACACCCCGTCTCCCGGCATCCCTCCAGAGACAGCAGCCGCCGCCCCCCAAATCCCCCAGCCTGGAAGCCCCAGGCCAGGTGTGCCGGGGAGTTAGAGACAGCAGCGTGAAAAGAAGCACACCTCCTGGCCCCCAGCTCAGCAGCTTGTTCTGATGGTCATTGCTGGAAGCTTTCACGAGTCAGACTCCCATGCAGCGCACACGCGACTTGATCAAGTTCCAGGGGCATTTACGTAAGTCAAAAACTGGACTTTGCAACATGTGAGCGGATACCTTTGCGGCCCCTGAGTGCCAGTGTGCAAATACCCCCCAGGACGAGAGCGCTCTGCAACTTGGGTCTTGCCTGAACGTGACCCAGCTCCTTCTACGTAGAATGGCATCCTCGCGAACCGTCCTCTCTGTCCCTGTCCATCCGTCGCCCTTGGAGGAAAAAGCCAAGTGCTTTGGGAGGAGGGTGGAGCCCAGCTCCTGACCAAGTGGTGGAGTTCTGCAAAACCTCAGCCCGTATGTGCTCACAAGGCTCCCGAAATGAAATACAAGTGGCGAAATGAGATCTGTTGCCATTATACTAGAGCTCTATAAAAAATAATAAAAGGAAAACAGGAGAGAAAGGCACCGCCGCCTTGCGAACCCGCGGGGAAGTAATTGTGGGTTTGGCTTGGCCGCTGCTGTATCAGAGGGCACGGTTCTTGTAGACACCCATCTAACTGCACGCTGTGTAGACACGGGACATCATTTCTGAGCCTCGGTAGTCCGTGGCCACCCTGCCTTCCCCCTTTCTTCACTCCAGCCTCGCGCACCAGAAACCCCCACGTGTCCACACGGCGGAGGAGGGTCCGTGTGCAAACTTGAACCAGCTGTTTCCCAGCGCGGTACCCACAAAGGCCCCGGGGGGAGTTCCGCTGCCTGCGAGGCCTCTAGTGAGCCCCCTGCTGATGGCCTTAACTTGCCGTGAGGTTGCTAAGGCCCAGGCCCCTACGGACAGGCGAGATGGGCCAGGAGATAACACACACGCACACGCCTGCGGCCCACGAGAAAATTGCCTTCCGTGAGTAGGCGGGCAGTATTGTGTGCAAAGCAGCTGCGTCATGGCACCTCGGCGCCTCTGACTCGGAGATGCAGCCAGATGTCAGGTGCATCGGACGTCTCCTGCCCCCTTCCTAAGGCGGTGAAAATTCCGCGTAGCCCGCCTGGAGGTAACGGCCCACCCGGAAGCTCGTTGCAGCTGGAACGTAATGAAC